AAATACTTGTAACTCATCTTGATACCCTTAGATGGCAGGAATGCTTTATTTGAAGAACAAGATGACTTTTTTTTAATATGTAATTAATTTTGAGGGTTTTTTTTTTAATAAATCTGATTGCTACAAGCACAGAGTAATTTGACAAAACCAAACAGAGGGAGTGTGTGTGCAAAGGGGGAGAGAGTGTCAGGAAATAGTGTGTAATTGCAAATCTAAGCATGTATATTTATTTGAAAACATTGAAGATAATTTGTGTTTCTATAATGTTTTTATGCCAATGGAACCTGTTAAACATCTTCCAGTATTAACAAGTAACTGTTTCTAGATTGAAAGGTGGCAATTGTTTAGAGATAGGAGAGAAAGAATTGCACAAACCCTGCATTATATGATCATAATCATATTGCACACTAATTTCTTGTCATTTTTTAGCCAAAAAAGCAGTTGCCTAATCAAACATGAATTGGATTTCTGATTTGTTTTAAATGCTTAAGTGAATTTCAGTTAATGTAATTAAGTTTTTCCTCAGGTGAGCATTTGAAACATGCAGGAGAGGTGTGTGTTAGGGGTAAAGAGAGGAGGAGAATAAATGAAAAGACCTTAAAATGTGGCTTCATAATATTTATATACATAAGAGGCATAACCTGATAAGTTATATTCTGTACAGCCATGCAAGAAAATACTCAAGGTGTTCTGTAATTAAAAAGAACATTTTGAGAATGTGTGTAGTGATAAAGTCACAGGATTTTTCTACGTATGCTGCAATGTAATTGGGGAAATTCACCTGCAATTAACAGAGTTGTTGATGATGCCAGAGAGAGTAGCTTGAGTAGCCTGAAAGAAAAGCAGCACTGTTTCTCCTCCTTAAAATATGACATAAGCATCTGTCTCTTGAGTGCATTAACAACAACAGAATCCAGAGCAGATCATAAAGGCGTCACTGGAGAGGGGAAAAATTGGATATTACAGATTCAGTAGTCTCAAAATTGAACATTCAAAGAGAGTGTATTTTAACTTTCTCCTAACAACTCCTTTATAGGTTTCCTCAACTCCTGTTGCACTGAAGATTTTAAGATCATAGCAGGAACAGGAAACTGCCAGTCATAAAAACCCTTGAAATAATGAGTAGAAATACGTTTTTGCATCTCATCAGAGCCTGTTTATAATCTCCCATAGGGAACATGCACTCCTGGCCATATCTGTCTTTGTGGTCCTGCACAGGTGTCCCTTTTTATTTTTGGGGTTTTGTTTTTTTTTTCTTGTTGCACTTGTCAGGGTTTCTATTTGCTCAATGCAGCTGCAAGGAGTAGTGACGGTCAGGTGGGTTTTCCTTGGAAAAGTAGTATTTTCACACACAAAGGGGAGCAGTTGTAGCAAGAGCTCTGTCTCCCTGTTGGGAGCTGCAAAGCAAGACCTGTAGTTAGACACTGTCTCCTTTCCAGCTCTCCATTTGCTGGCAAAAGTGGAGGGCAGGGACTAATCCTCTTGGAATGCAGCCATTACCACTAAATAAGTATTAATTGCTGCATTCCAAGGGGATTAGCACAGTTGAACCCAATTATAGCAAATCGAAGCTGCACTGTAAGGCACTACAGTGCATTGAGGGGCAGTGAAGTAGTGTAGGACTGTCACTCTGCAACATTTTATCAATAAAAATTGTGGGCTTACACACTATAAACAGCAGACCATTTCTTTTCAGTGTATTAGTCTGAATGGCATGCCTGGCTGGAGGCTACAGTTTGCTCACCAGTGAAAATGGTTGCTTTTTTTAACACCCATTATCTTTGTGTGAACATCTCAGAAATGTTTTTAATACTTGTTGAGTTAATTATACCACTGCAAGCGTCACTCCCTGCTGGACCAGGGGCAAGGCTCTGCAGTCTGTCTGGATTCTCACATCTCTGAAGTCGGCCAGCTCCTCCATCAGGTGATGTAGGAATTAATTTTGCCTGCGAGTGCTAACTGTATCAAATAGGCTTAGGAGAGCTCCTGATAACCGACCTGTTCTCAATCCCAGCAGTCTGCAGTGATGATTAGAGTCATATCTCTGTGGTAGCAATACAGGAGCCAGAGGGCAGTGTGTAGTTATATATTTTTTTAATCCTCAGCTTGACTGTGGTGTGGGTTTGTGTTTCTTTTTTTTTTTTTTTGTTTTTTTTTTTTATTTATTTCCTGTTAAAACTGCAAACCCTGCTGCTTTTTTTTTTTTTTTTTTTTTTTTTTTTTATAGTACAGTCAAAGCATAACAAGTAAGTGTGAAAAGGGAATGCTTCTGGGAATGAATCAGCCCCTTGCATTAGAGCTGTTCCAGGATTTTTTTTTTTTGTCCAGAGAAAGGATGGCATATGGATGCACAGAACCAGTTGTATGTATGCCCTGACTATTTTATGAAAGATCTTATCCTACGGATAATGAGCTGCACCTTAACCAGCATTAAATACACTGAGCTGTACTTGGAGACCACTTCAATTCCCTGACCCATTCTGTTTCACAAATCATAGATCAAATATTGCAGTCTTGCCAGTGCAGGTAATTCTTCAGAACGTACTTTGCTCCACCCATATGTTTAGATGAAGAACCAAGTTTAGCTGAGAGCTTTTCTTAACACAGCAGGAAGGGTTTATTTCTGCTGTGGCCTTGTCTGTATTGAGAAAAATTGCTGCTGGTTCAGCTGAACAAGGATTGGCATTCATTTCTAGTCCAGGGTTAACCAAGTCCTTACAATCTGACTGAAGTGAGTAAACTGAAACATCAGTATGGTTGAAACTGTTGATAGCAATGTATTTGCAAGATTGGCCAATGCACAATGTATGCAGGAGGTACTGAAGTTTTTATAGTGCTGTGTAGCTCCTAGAGATGCAAAGACTAAAAAAGCTAAAAAGACGGTGACACTCTAAGCAAATTATTCCTCGTGGTAGAATTGCAAACCTTATGAACACTGAAAAGCTTTTTCCTAGAGAGGAGACCACTTCCTCTTCATCTGTTCCTATCCTGCTTGTCTGCATGTGATTTGCATCTGTCCCATGCCATGCTTGTTGTGAGAATAACTCGGAATACAAGCATGAATGCTCTTCTGTATACTTTGATTATATTTGTATAATGATAAGCTTGCCTTAGTTCAAAAGCTGAGAGATGGGGAGGTGAGAATTTCTAGGGGTACTGTCATGCAAAGCCTTTTTCTGACTCTACCCACACTTCCGAGTGAAGTCCATATACTCAATTTCTCTGACCTTTCCCTATCTAGACATCAAAACACCCTGGCCCAACTGCTGTTCTCCCAGTGTGCCTACTGCTGCCATTAATCTCCCTTTCTTACACAGCTTTTCATTTCTTTTCCTTACCTTTGGCCTCAACTCTTTATTCAAAGTGATAATTTGCTGGCTTTCTGCCAGAGGGAGAAGCTATGATCAATAACAGGAGGAGACAGAGGTCAGTGGAATAGTGATGAGCAGTGCCATCTGCTTCTCTGGAAACACCGTTACCCAAAAATATCAATAACTAGGATGATATTTCAGCTTTTGGATAAGGCATTAGTGAGATTGAGGCAGCCAGAAGTGAGAGCAGGGATCTTTTTCTGCTCGCTAATTCCTTGTTTCAGCCAATCTTCTGTCACACAGAGATGTGGACAGAAAGGGCTTTATGCAGCTTGCACTGGAATATAGAGCATGTACCTGAGCACAGCCATTTCTGGGACTAATGACACCTCTTTCAGGTTCAGTGCATGGCAGATCCCCCTGGGCTGTGCTCTGCTTTCTGCCTGGTGGTGTCAGAGCCTATCTCCAGCCTTTCCTTGGAGCTTTTGGGGTAGAAGAGCCACAAAGGAAACCCTCCCCAGGGCTGGGAGAGAGCAGAGGCCCCGCAGCACTGCCTGGCTATCACAGAAGGGTGTGCTGCACTATTGCACCTGGTGCTTGACTGCTACTAGTGTCTAGTACTTTTGGTATTGACTGGCACAACATATAACTATTCAATTAAAGGAAAAGACAATTTTATCCCTGTATTAGCCTTTATTACTCCAGAGAGCAAGGTGATGAATTTCTTCCAAGAACTTCAATTTATTTTGCCTTTAAAAGACTATAAAGCCTTACTTTTTGTGTGCACAATAACTCTCATCCCGCCATACTTTAGGGAAATTTTTATCCCCAGTTTCTGTACCTCCTGGGGATGCATATTCCTCTTTCTTTTCTAAGAATTAGAAACAGGAGAAAAAAAGAGATGCACTGAGATGTTTGTACTTCCTCCCAGCCTAAGCTCTGATCCTCAAGTGCATTATTAGTATTACTGTTGTAAACATTAAACACTCAGATCTGTTGAGCCAGATGTATTTTGATGGGAAGTGAGGCTGAGCTTTAAGCCTTAGGGTTCATCTAAGCTATGTTTTCAAGCTTTTCTAATTCACAGTTGTCTAAACTGGACTCTTTTTTTATTAATAAAAAAGTGAGAATTTTCATTTGCCCACGTTTTGAAAAAAGCACAATAATGTGACATTTCTTACAAAGCGGGAGTTAGAAATGAGTTTTATATTGTTATGAGTTTAGACTGTATTGTTGTATTTAGCTGTATTTAGTGTTGTATTTATGTATGTATATGTTGTATGACTGTATGTGTTGTATTTAGCTGTATTGTTCAAGAGTGACTATAACTTCCAGTTTTAAATTTCTATTTATGCCTTATGCTTCACACTGGGAATAGTTGCATAAACCCCTTTTGAAGTCAGGCCAAATTTGATACCAGAAACAGAGACCAGCAGCCGCTGAGCGGGGATGATCTAGGAACCATCAGAGTGGAAAAAAACCCAGCTCATTGAAAACCATCTTGCAGAGAGGAAGAGGATGAATAACAAAGGAAACCCCAAACACCAGTACCAAGAAGGCAAACCCCAGCTCTCACACAGAGGCTGTGAAGGCAGAGGAAGCCGGCAGGTGGACTCCAAAAGCCCTCATAGGAGGCGAGCTTCTTCCTGTGGCGGCCACACGCCAGCACAGCGTGTGGAGGAGCTTCTTCTCATCCTCATCTTCTTCTCCTCTCCCGTCCCCAGCACTGTCCAGCCCGGCAGGATGAAGTGGAGGAGGATCGCCATCCTCACCACCCTGCAGGCGCAGCTCCCGGCCACAGGTAAAGCGTGCTTGGGGCTTGTGAGGAGCTCTCGTAAAGCTCCTCTGAGGAAAGCATGCGGTGTTTCTGTGGTGGCTTCACCACCATTTTGGTAGCAGGAGGGTGTCTGTGCCAGCCTCAGCCGTGCTGTGAAGGAGGAGAGGGATGTGCTGAGCTGGGCTGGGATAAAGGTGGGGATGAGGGGCCCTTCTCCTGCTGGAGCCATGCCACAGCTGAACAGTGACTAAACAAAACCCTCAGCCCTCGCCTGGGCAGCTTTCCTGGCGATTTTTAAAAGGGGAGGTTTGAGGCAGTGATGGAAAATGGTCACTTGGATGAAGATACGTAGGAGAAGCTTCTGATGGCGTTGAGCCACGGGTCTGTGGCCCGCAGCAGAGCCGGCAGGCGGGAAATGGGTCACAGGTGGCGAGCAAAAGGGCAGGGCCCTTCCCCTCACAGCCCTGCCTTCGTGCTCCTCTCCACCAGACACACAAAGTGGAGCCATTTCTTTCTTTGTATCATTTATTTGTGTGGTGCGTGGGCCGGCCCTGCTTGGGCGCCAAGCGGAGCAGCTTCAGTGAGCACAAATCTTCCAAAGTCACGCTGAGTTTGACAAGGAGGAATTTACTTTTAGATCGAAAGAGCAACAAAATTTACATCTGGAAGAAGCTTCAAGTGGGGTCTGAATGTGCCACAGGCCACATCTGAGCACACATTAAAGCCAAATCCTACGGAAGAGTTTTTCCGCCTCATTGTCTACCCTCGCTGTACTTCACCCCAGCTCTAGAGGATGCTGGGTTTACTGCCACAAACATTTTATTGGAAAGCTTCTGGGGATGAGAGGAGGGTTTTGCAGCTGCTTTCTAGCTTTGTAGCTGCTGTGGAACCAGTCCTGGTGATTTGTGGGGTTTTTCTTTCAGGAGAGGTTTTATGCTCTGTGGCAGGCCATGATTTATATTTGTCCTCCCTTCAACCCCTGGGGCCTCTGACCCTTCCCGATACCCAAATACGATCCTGTACTGAAGTATACGTCTCATATTTTGTACCTTGCTCTGTATCCACAGATGCATGTAAGGCTAGAAAGGTATGGAGGTTACTTTAGGTCAAAATCCATCTGCAAAACCATCTTTTTATGTTTTCTCCTTTTAAACCTGTCACATGTCTAGTTCAGGCATATCTGTGCATTTTCAGCAGAAGACTTAGAAAAATATGTAATGCAAAGCTCTTGGGGTATTCACACAAAGAATGCACGGTTCAAGTTTTGAACTGGATACTGTTGTCACTGATTTGGAGGTGGATTTGAGGGGGAGTATTTTTGATTGGATACTTGTAAGAGTTTGAAGTACGGCAGCATTCAGCCAAAGAGTGTAGGTAAAATAGTAGAAATATAAACCAAAACTTGTGGAATTGTTGCCACATTATGGATACAGAATAGACAGGAACAAAAATGTAAGATCCATCATGAATTTAGTTCAATGATGAGACCAAACAGTTAGGTTTTTTCAGCTCAGAGCTGTGAGCAGAAAGATTGATTTTCTGCTGCCTGGAGTGTTTTCAAGCTTTCTTGGCATTCACTTCTAGATGGACTTCTAGGGAAATGAACTTTTTTTTTTCATGGAACAAGCTCAGACAGAGTCGGTAAGCTGCATACCTCCTCACCATGAGTTCATTGCACTTCACTATAAAGTGTTTGTGTTTATTCTTTAAAAGGGCAGTTGAAAGATGCCACCAAGATTAGCCCTGAGGAACTCGCGAAGCCGTTCTTTTTGATCTTTGAGTTCTGAAGTAAATATGCCAGGCATGAGAAAAAACCCAATGTTTTAAAGTAAAGAGATAGGCCATGAATTCTGATGCAGACTTTGAATTTACTGACACCAGACCACAAATTTCAGAAGGCTCAAATTTGGCCTTTGAGTAATTAGAGAGGGAAGGCATCTCACATTTTTAAATACACATCTGTATATCTAGAGGTTTAATTTTGTTTTCCCTCTTCAAAGGCATAAAAGTGTACATCTGGAAATCTAGCTGAGGTCCTCCTATAAACTCCTCTGTTAAAAAGTCTATGAGAAGTAATAATTTTAATTATGAGCAGATGACTTTGTCAATCGTGCTGTTTGTTGAGACAAGAATCTTGGAAGACTTGTACCTGAGTATCACAACTAAAATGGCAAAAACCTTCATATAGTTTACACAGCTTTTGTTCTGAAGTATGACAGGCTTTGATAGCACTAAAACAGTCCTGTGAGCAATACTGTAGAGCTGCCCCCCCTATTTTTTTTAAAGGTGATGAGATGATGCTTTGATTTATACAGACACATGCCACACACATTTACATAAATGTACGTGCAAGAGTTGAAGAACCTCCCTTGTTCTACACTTCTTTACAGAGTCACTTTTCTCAGAACTGTCTGCTAAGTGGAACTGGACAGTGCCCTTTTTTTTTTAGCTAACTCTGTGGAAACTACAGCATGTTGGTCTTTAGCAGATGTTACTTGCACAACTCATTTCCACCCTGTTTTTCTGCTCTGCGTATCTGCATCTCCTGCCCGTTGGGTTGCCATGATGCCATCAGCCTTTTTTAGTCTGTTCAGGGACAGGTAATAGGTTTTAGCATTCATTCTTTTTCTTCCCTTTCATCAGATGATTTAGCTGCTCTGCAAAATGATAAGATTTGCAAACCAGGAGTTGTTTACAAGCTTGTCTAAGGAATCCAAACAAGTAAATTCAGACTTTTTTTCGATACTATCCCCATGTCCTTATTCGCTGTCTTAAGTTCTCTGAGTTGCATTCTTGTTACACCTAGGGGGGAAAAAATTTAAAGGCTTAATTTTACATGTTTTATTTCTTTTATTTCTCCTGCCTTTTCACAATGATTCATTAATAATTCATGGAAAAAACCCCGATGAACTGGCAGAATGGAACAAAATGTAGGCAATGTAGCCTTCCTTTGTAAAGGGACATTTGTTGAGCACTTGCAGTGCTATGTTCAATTCTGTAATGCTTGTTACAGAATAAGTGCTTTCTATCTTAACCCTTCCAAGCAGAATTCCTAATCAGTGAAGTAACAAATTAATGATCCCGTTCCTTTTGGTTTTTTATGTATACTAGATGAGAAAGATAGATATACAAAATACAGAAAGCTATCTGCAAAATATATTTTTCTTCTCTGTGTCCTTCTGAAGTAAGACTAAGAAGCCGAAGTGGAGTTTAAAAAAAGAGGTTCACTAGCAGCCTAAGGGGACAAGAATTTGATGTGTAAATGAATGTTCATGTGAGGAATGTTTTTGACAACCATTTTCTGTTGTTCACACAGACTTGAATTATAACTACCATGATGAGTAAATTTTTCATGGTTTTTTCCTTGCATTGGGTTATTTCCTAACTATTTCCAAATTATAACTAAACTCTCTTTCAAAAATAAAGAAAAATACTTCTTTTGCATAATTGCAGCCAACCATAGAATACTCCCCCCCTTTTCCAATTAATCATATATTTGAGTGTCTGTATAGTACATAGAAATCTAAGATGCCTCAGCTGTTCTGACAAGAAAATAAAGGATGTTTTTAGGGTGGCATGAATGGAAGATTAAAAACACTTAAAATGTGTATTCTGCTAAAGGTATCTACTTTTCCTGTGAGCATGTTAAACTTGCAAACATATTGTTAACTTTTCACTCTTCTGCTGACTTTGGTCAACAGATAAATTTAAGTTTCACTGCCGATTCTTTTTAGTGTTAAGAGAACAACTTATGCTATTCTAGAGTCTGTGAGAAGCTGAAAATTTTCAGATTTGTGATATTGTCTGAGGTAATATTTCGAGACTGGGACTGAATATTGTTTTCTTAATTAACTTGGCCCTTTAAGAAATGCATAGTATTTTTAACTTTTCAAGTATGACAGTCCAAATCAGCTTTTTTTTCAGGAAAGCAATGAAAACATTCATCTCCACTCTGTAGTTTGATTTATAACTTCATATATAACAGACAAAATGTGCAGACAAATGGAAAGCTTGGTTTGCAGTTCTTCGATCCGCTCACCCAAATGCACAGGCCTCGGAAAACAGCGAAATGTTTCTCTTCAGCCCCAAACAGTGGGTACATCCATCTTTGTGGAAGTTAGACTTATTTCAGTCCTTTGCCAATATAAGTATGAAAAATAGAAGTAGAAACCAACTAGTTCCTCAGCCTCAGAGGTCATAAGCACCTGGTGTCTGTGCAAATTCTGCTTTAGCGATAGAAGCCACCTCAGTTTTTTTGAGACACGTAGATTGGAAATATTTAAAGTCCTGTAAGTTCCCTAGGAATAAACCATCAACCTTTGGAAGCCTGTTGTGTATTTTGTTCTCAATCCTTTGTTGTATTTCTCTTTAGTCTTACAAGAACAGCAAGTTTGGAGTTTTCCATCTTTCTGTGTTTTTGGTATATGAGAGTACGTTAAACACGTGCTTGTGGAGCCTGATGAAATCCTTGTACTATCTGGCCTATTTCTTTTGTGAGATGTATCTGTAATGAAAACTTCAACTCTATCCTGACTCTTTTGGAGTAGCAGACAATTCTTTTCAATTTGTTATATTTTTTAAGTGAAGGAGAAGCCATAATGGTAACACAACTCTCTGAAAACTCAGAGAATGCAGAGGTGAAATATATTCCAAATTAGAATTTGATGGAAGCTTTGAAGAAGGGGGTAAAGGTTGGAAAATTTTCAACAAATGATAGAATAAACAGCAGCAGGACACTCTGAATAAATCTAGAGTGTGGCCAATTGTCAATACGTGCTGTTTGGTTTGGATTTTTTTAGGAAATCTCACAGTACATGATTTACCTACAATTCAAGCTGCTGCCTTAGGTGAAAATCCTAACTTTCACCACAAATAAATTTTTCTAGTTTCCTGGTAAAGTTTTCTAGCTTGTAAAGTTAACCTTGAAAATGCGAGCCTGCATGGCTCCAGAAAAAAATAAAAGAGCAAACTAGTTATATAATTTGTCACTTACAAATTTTTTTCAAGGCAAGTGCTATTTTGGG